TTTCTCTGCTATTAATCCTTCTTACAACAGGCTACACATTATGCCGTTCTACCTTTAGATTTGAATTGTGCGTGTACAAAGCAAAGTGGACACCGTCRACACTACTAGTCARGGTATACTGTCGAGTGAATTGCCTTGCATCTTGACGTCCTTGAGTAGCGATACGAATCATCTTGGCAAGTTTTCCAACGTCAATCTGAAATCATGGATTAGTAATTAATAATAATAGTAATAATTAATAATAAATTGATGTTATATGTTATARCAACAACGATACAATCAATCCATATTTTTATTTTTGCAAAAAATGCAAAGAGCTTTTAAATGCCCATGTTYATCCATCGATACGRAAAYTCRYCATCTTTTGATTTTGAACCAATCAGAAAACACCTTTTAACRAGAGATCATTTGTAAAACAAAAGAAAYGATCGCAAGGRCTCCTGGAWGTACATAGTCCTTTAARACCAACAAATTCTCTGTCATATACGGTAAGRTAGTTCTATTGTAGATGCTATTTTTGAAATCCAGCTCGGGAGATTTGGGTCCCCATCACCTTCATCTTCTAGTACCCTAGTCTACTAGGTGTTTTTTAAGTCTATAAGATCTAGTAGACATGGAAACATTCTCTTGTCCATCTTTAATCCTCGGATCTGACCGTTTACTTCAAGAGGGGAAATATGAACCAACATATAGATTATAGTAGTAGTCATACCTCTAGCCATTCACGTCGTGTGCGGTGTTTAGGAATCCACCCACCAATTCTTCTACCCATCTTCTTCAACATRAGCCTTGCGAGGTAGGGAGGGGTGTGAGCATTATACTGACTCGATGCTGTAATTGCTCTATTTCGGATGGCACCACTTCTCAATCCCATTTGACGGTTACACAAGTGACCTGTTARAAAAACATCCCATATATTGATTCTTTGTCATAAAGTTTATGATAAATTGAAATTAAATTAAATTAAACCACGTACCAGCGCTGCATCCAAATAGCTCTACTCTCATTGATACATAGCCATGCCAGGAAGTTGGCAGGAATTGTACATATCTGGTCCAGATGTGACGTATGGTGTTGTATACAATGGTATTACGATCGTAGTTTGCTTGGAAAACTCTGACATTTCTTCCTTCCTTGTATTTTCTCAGGTAATCGATAGCCATACCGTACTTAATGATATATGCACGGACCCAGTAGTTAGATCTGTAGTTTCCTTGCGTGGCAAGTTTCACTACCTTGGCCTTGTTTCCGAGGTCAACCAACAACCATTGGTGCCTGAAGGAAAAAAATAACAATTATACAATAAGTTGTTTTTAGTACATTCCTTTTTTTACGAATGGAAGTTGACAGAACGATGTATTTGATTATAGTTCATTGATATTATCGATAAACAACAGTAAATTATCAYAATTGTTTTAATCATAACCTGTTATGGTGCTTTGCAATCCATGTATAGCTTCTTGTATTAAGTCGAGCCTTGTGAGGAGCATAAGTGACACTAAGYTTAGAGGAAGCTGTGAATGCAACGTCAGGTAGGCGATGGTCTTCAGCACCGAGTGCGATGTCACAGTGTTCTAAAAAAAAGATTGGGGATGGTTAAGCATCAGTAAACACAAATCGGTGAATATATATCGATGATTCACTGCATATCAATTAACTAACTAAGAAATCGAATCACTGCTTCCTTTTATGGAAAYTTCTTTCCAAATATGGTTAAAATGTGGTGTGGAAGTTCTTTTGCTCTTACTTAATAATAKACAATTTGACAGTTCAGGAATGTGACCAAACGGCTTATTCCAATTGGCCTCATAGCTTAATTCTCAAGATCACAGGGCCGTTTAGAAAAAAAGTTATTTTTAGTTATACCTGGTTTGCAGCCGTGAATCTCGAGTCTCATGGCGTCTCTCCTGTATCTGCTATGAGCATAGACACGAACAAATCGACAGACCAAATAGTGGGTGAAAGATATTGTTTCGATGGTGTTTCTTGAGTCGTGGTCTCCATAGAAGTACTAAATAGAYATTACAAGTTTAATGTATTGAAAAAAATGCATAACATTMAAACATTTTGCAAATATGGCATRCCCTAAAATTGGGAACAAACCCGAACATWAAGACTGAGAGAGAAAAATTAAGAACATTTATTAYAAATCAGCTTACAGCAAAACCCCCGTTTTATACGGCCACTCGCTTAATATGACCATTTTTTGGTGCCCCTTCGGTGGCCGGATTAACGAAGTTCCACTGTACTGGAACTTCCAGTTCTTTCAATACGAAGTTGATGATCTTTTTTCTCTCTCGATCCAACTTTCCCTTATCACCTATTTGCCACGTTGGCATGTTAAGTCAAACTTAAAAAAACTTCGGGTTCTTTTCGCCTAAGGTTAATAAGAAACCTCAGTCCCCCTCTTTCCTTGTTAAACAAAAATGGGATTGCCATGCAGGAACCTTTGGCTATTTTCAGGAATAGAAAAAACCTTTGAAAGAAACCGTGCATTTAATCGGAAAATTATACATACCTCATATCCAGTATTGTACTTATTAAGTACTGGGACTTGATGAGCACCGTCTAAACTATAAACCACTCTAAATCGTCGAACAAATGCGTTTTGTGGCTGATAGCCTTGTATGGAAAGCATAGTGACCTTTAAGATTCGTCTCATGTCGACCTGCAGCCACTGCAGATGGTTGTTGAACTTGGACATCCACGCTCCATTCCTGTTGAGTCGAGCGCGACTAGCCGCAAAATTACGGTTGTATTGAGATGAGCTGGTAATCTGGGAGTTCTTTATACGACCRTTTTGCATTCCGACAGGGTAATTACAAATATCTGTCAATCCTGCAGAACAATATAATAAATGTAAGATTTGAACTTTCGAAAACCCTAGGAAGCCTGAGTTATAATACTATAAAAGAAATTTCGAAAAAAAGAGGAAAAAAAAGAAAAGAAAGAAAAATTCAAGAGTCCTGTCCCACCACCCCGATTACTATATCTAAGTTGCAATGAAGATTATACTCGCCTTTGCGACATCCATAGAACTCTACTCTCATAGATATATAGCTGTACCATTGCTTAGGATGGACACGAACCAATTGTGACACAATATTTGGTTTGAGCATGTGGTAGACGACAGTGTTACGGTCGGAGTTGGCGCGGAACATCTACAAGTGAAAAGAAGTAAATTGGTAAAGAAAATAGAATTAATCTTGCTGTAGTTTTACACTACTTTCCGTTTTTCGGGTAAACTTTTAAAGAAATTGCTTTATTACCTTGACGCGACCACCTTGTCTGTAAACACGGAATATTCCCCTGTGAGAATAAGAAAGGACATAGCTCTTCACCCATTGGTTAGCGTTACGCCTTCCTTGAGTAGCAATTCCAGTCACGCGAGCACGACCAAAGAAATCGATCTGTAGCCATTGCTTTGCGTTACGTTGACGTGCTGTCCATGATTGAGGGCTGTTCAGTCTGCCTTCGTATGGTGCAAGATGGGCGTTGTAGAACGTCGAGGCACGGAATGCTCCACGTGGCAATCGACGATCTTCTAATCCCATTGAAGCCTCGCATTTATCTGCGGAAGAACCATTGATTCATAAAACTTTTGATACAGTCAGTTATTTCCTGTGAGCCTTTGAAATCTTTATTTTTGGTTTCCACATGATTACTTGTTGAAAGGTACTTTCTGATTGTGAAAAATCGCGCAAACATTTTTKAATTAACGTGATCGTTTCAGCAATAGTCCCACATTCACTAGAATAAGAACTAGGATGATTCTTCATCATCGGTGAAAGGAAAAAGATCACCTTACTAATACAAATCGATGAGGAAAAAAAGAGTTTGAAGTCTAATTCCGACTATCATTTTTGACGACAGAAAATAGCTCTATTATACAGAACCTATAGATCCATTGCAGATCATGACAACTKGGAAAAAAAAATTCTGGCTCTCAAAATAGCAAAAGTCTTTCCTTTATTCGCTGATTAAGTTGCTTTGACGTCGTATGGAAGGACTATAGATCATTTATCAAATGCATAAAGTAAGACCTTAATAGTAAGGAATAAAAGGATTAAATGACTTACTGATGACACAGCCATAAAGTTCGACCCTCATTGAGATATACGCATACCAAGAATGAGGAACAAAACGGAAAAATCGGCCTTTAGTGGATGGGAAGAGTCTGTTGGCTTGGATTGTGTTCCTGTCATGGTTACCCTTGAAATACTGCCGTAAATAATATATGTTAGTAAGGTATACGTTCAGAAAAATACTTTAACAAGATGTGGTTTAATATTCGAACACTTGATCAAT